AGCACCTTTACCCACCAAGCCACATGGCAAGCCCAATTCGCATTTGCGTTTGCTTAAGTGTTAGAGAGTGTGTGCGTGCATGAGTGTGAATATGTGAGAGCGAGAGTGTGTGGTGTGATAGCTGGTGTGTGTGAGGAGGGTGCTGGGGATGGAAACTTGAGCTTTGCGCAGGGCAGGCAGGCGCTTTCCCACCGAAATGGATTCCAGCGGGGGTGTGTCTGTCTGTCTTGTTCATCACTCTAAGTGAGAACACAGCTTGCCATGCTCAGAGGATGTTCACAAAGCCGAGTGAATGGCAGAAATGCTGAATATTAGATGAATGAATGAATGAATGAATGAATGAATGAATGAATGAATGAATGACAAGCACAAAAGGTGATGAAGGGACTCGGAGGCCTAGAAGGTGAGGTAGAGAAGGGTCTGAAGCACTCCTGGAAAGGGGCTCCCACAGGCTGTGGGTACGGTAACAAGTGGCTGAAGGTGGGGTGGATGCCAAAAACTACGGCCAGAGTAATGGGGGTCGAGGGCAGAGGGCAGGCATTAACCTCACAGACGGAACGGTGTCCAGAAAGGCGGAGAAATCAGAGGTGCCAAGCACTCTGGGCCAGGCAACAAGCCAGTACAGCAGGCTGGCAAGGACAGCAATGCCAGGGGCGGAGGCTGAGGAAGCTGGCATCTGTACAGACGGACACAGGCAGGGGAAAGAAGTCGGGTTTCTGCACCCCGAGGGAAGGTGTGTGTGTGGGGATTGTCAGCCTCTCTTAACCCCCGAGGGGATCCAGGGTCACAGAAACTCTGGGGGGGGGTGGCTGGGAGAGGGGTACGCCCCGCAGGAAGTCAAGGGTGAGGCATGCGGTGACTGCTGTCATGGGGACCCACAGACAGGGCAGGTGGAAGGGGCCAGCGAAGAGCTGTGTGATACGTTTGTGGTCAGTGGGGGACGGAGGAGGCGGATGCAACTCAGCCAGGCGCTGGACAGACCCTGCGAGGAGCCACGCAAGGCTGGAGGGAGGAGGGAACTCAGGAGAGAAAGGCCGCTCCGAGGCGGCATCTGTGGTTGCCGAGTGTGCATGAAAACAGAGCAAGCATCACAGACTGTCTCCTCAGCGGAGAAGAGGGAAAACAAGGAAGCCCCGGACACGGCAGCCCCTGGGCGGTGAGGGTCACGCGGGCCTTCTGTGCATCTCACATCTTCCAGTCCCCAGATCATACTGTCTGCACAGGACACGGCTGAGTCCTTCACTCATCCCTTCTCAATGAACCAGTTCAGAACTGAGGTGTGAGCTGGGGCAGAGTGGGACACGTTCCATGGATGGTTGTTGCTTTTGCTGTTACTGAGACAGGGTTTAATGAACAGCCCAAGCGGGCCTTGAATCCAAGATCTCCCTGCTGCAATCCCTAAAAACTGGGAAACATTTCAACTGGAAACAAAGATTGCCTGGTCCCAACACCCCCGGCTCTCTCCAGCACTGCCCAGGACTGACAACCCCCTGCCTCACCCCCTGGCCCTAACTTTGTACTATGGTCACTTCGGTCCTTACTTCCAGCCAGGACCCTGGCTGGCTACTCGTGGGTCCCGGGCAGCTGAGAGCAGGCAGCAGGCCCATCCCATGTTTGGGGCTGTGCCAGGCACTGTAGAGGACATCTCCCAGAGAGCCTTGTTCTGGCCTAAGCCGAGCCTGATGACAAGTATTTAATCTAATCGTATCCTAATTGTGAGTTCACGGGCCCCGATCACCTCAAATCCACGGTCTGCCTTAGGGAACAAACCACTGAGTTGGAGGAGGCCATACCGACCTGGGAGCCCATAAGAGAGGGAGCCCTAGAGGACAGATAATTAGGTGGGACGCACAAGGGAAGGGTGGGAGAGAAAGCGAGCAAGGAAGGCCCTTCTTAACACCCAGGATTTGTCTATGGGGCCTGGCAAGTCAGGTTGGCACTGAGGCCAAGGTCAGTCAGTGACTAGCAGCCAGAACAAACTCAGGCTGGCTGGCTTTGACCCCTGTGCCCATCAGCCTCCAGATCACCTTGAGGTCTAGGAATAAAGGACCAGCTTCCTAGAGGAAGGGCAAGAGTGTCCCAGGCATGATGCATCTGGGTCTGAAACTCAGCACAGGGAGAGTGCAGGTGGGCGGGGCTCAGGGCACAACTCACCCCTACTGGCCTTCCAGGGGAAAAAAACAGAGTAAGGCAGGGGAGGCCCTGCAGGGCAACAGGACAGAACTAGAGGGGTGACAACAAACAGGTTCCAGTCAGTGGGGACTGCAGGGGATGTAAGGCGCAGTAATGAGCTCCCCAGGGCCTCCCCGCATGAGCCAGGGACTGTCACCACAGTGGAGGTGGAATGCAATCAGCCTAGAGCCCAGCCCAGCCTCCCCCGGGGCCAAACTCCTGGAGATCAGCCTGGGAGACCACCATGGCTGGAGTCTCTGCCCTGCAGAAGGCTGAGGTTCCACACTGACGAGAGGCAAGCTTCCACAAGCAGGCCAACTCCTCCTCCAGCTAGACAGGAAGCAGGGCTTGGGAGGCCAAGACAGTGAGACAGCAAGGTGAGTATCTTCCCTGTCAGGGCATAGCCAGACCTAGTCAGCCTCCAGTCCATCAAGAGAGCCACGGGAAACGGGCAGCAAGGTCAGCTTTGGAGCCACGGGGCTGTACTGGGTTCAAGGTAGGGCAGCCCTCTGTTCCCCAAGCTCTTGGGTCCTCCCTCTGCTCCCCCTACCAGGCTGAGCAGGAAGGGGCAGACTGGGCCAGCTCTGTCCCTGGGGAGTTCACCTCTAGAGGGGAGACTCAGATAAACAGGCAATTACAGGGCAGAGTGGAGAACACAGGGCCCACATGCCCCTCCAGGCCCTGGCCAAGGCCTTGCAGCCCTTGCTCAGAGTCGGGGCTGGAGGCCGCAGTGCTGAGGACCAGTCCTCCACCCAGAGGATGGTTCCAGTCTGAATCCTCTCTGGCCCCAGATGCCCACAGCAGACCTATCTTCCTTCACCCTCCATTCGGAGCCTGTCCAGCATAGACTCCCCACCCCTATGAGCCAAAGCAGTGGGCTCCATCTGAGTACCAAAGGCCCACACCATGCAGCTGCTGTGACCCTGACCGGGATACCTACTGGGTCGCTAGGGGTCCACACTGTCCAGGAGACGGGAAAGGATAACAGAGGACCTGCCAAGGTCTTGGCTTTGGCTAAGGACACAGCTCCCTCTGATGGCTGACAGATGCCTGGGAAAGCAAGGAAAAGCCTAGCCTATTCCTGTGTCCTGTTTTGTTTGTTTGTGTGTTTATCAGGGGGGCACAGATGGAGGCCGGAGGACAACTCGTGGGAGTCCACTCTGTTCTTCCACCATGTGCGTCCTAGGGATCAAACTCAGGGGTGAGGCCCAGGGTCTTCACCTGCTGGGCCGTTTTCCCTGCCCGGAAGGAACACTCTTAGGTTGTAGGAATAATCATTATTCTAAAACAGGTTAGTGGAGCCATCATTGACCGAGAGCCACACTGCCAGGGCTCCTATAAGAAAATGTCTCTTCTTCCTCCTCCTCCTCTTCCTCTTCTTCTTCATGGCTTTCAGACAGGGGCTCATACATCCCAACTAGTCTTGAACTCACTACGTAACTGAAAAACGGCCATCCCTCTCCAGGAAGGTAATTTTAAGTACTATATTTAATGTCTCCTGCTGAGTGTTGCCAAGAAGGTCCAAGTGGCAGGCCCAGGACCCATTCCATCAGTTCCCAAACCTTTACCCCTGGCCCAAACATCAGCAGCATGAACCCGGAAATCATGAAACATGGAGCTACCTGGACCACACCCCGCTCAACAAATGGGAAAATCGAGGTCCAGAAAAACTAGCAACTGGCCCATGCCACGCAGCCGTAACTGAGTGCCGAGTGGTGTCCCTACCCCGAGGATAACACAGGCAGTGTGCACATTTCACAGTGGGAGTCTCTGCTCCATGGACACTTGTCCCTCGGTAGTTGCAGAGGGGACACCTCAGGGTCACCCTGGGAATTACTCCGAGGACCCCAGGCTAAGCAGGTGAGGGAAGGTCAATCCGCTAACTGACGCTCCGCCCATGCCAGCACCTGGCTTTCAGGAAGCTCCACGTGCCTCGCGGATGCCACAACTGTCAGGCAGTGAGATCCACGGGCTCTTTGACCAGCCCCTGCAGCTGCCTGTCCCCAGACTTACCTTTTGCCAGAGTGACTCTCGGGAGGCGAGGGACGAGCAGGCGGCCACAAACCAGCAGTTGCCCACCTGACCCTGGTGCAGGTCGTGGGAGCTGATGCCATCTACAAAGAGGCGGGGATCATCACAGATATCCTGCAGGGACGGAGAGGACATCATGAGGACCTGAGGGACTAGCTGCTTCTCCAGGTCAGGAAAAGGACTCACTGCCCTCTCTCTCATAGAAGGGAGGTACAAGCTCAACCGTACCCCAAGTTCTGCCTGGATTGTTTCTCTCCCTCCTTGGCCAGAGAGCCTTTCCACTATGGTGAGCTGATGGCTCATGGCTGAAGAAAGATCTGAGTGCTGGACCCTGGGCCACCATCTTCTCCTTGCCTTGAGTGGATCTCCCTTTCCGGCCAGCCCTGAAGGCCAGCCGCAGCGCAGTCAAGTGACAGGCCTCCGTAGAACTCATGGGGAGTACGAAAAGAGCCTCTTCGGGCCGGGCTGGGGTTGCTACTGCATTCTAAGGCTGAGGAATGAAAGTTCAGAGAGAGGCAGGACCTGTCAAAACTCGGGACACAGGAATGCCCAAGTGGGGCAGAAATCCTGTGGATTTGCCATGGAGATTGGCAGGCCTGGCCACAGGGGCACAGGACATAGGAACCAGCCTGGGGCAGCTGCCGGGCAGAGAGCCCCGTCTAACAGTACTCAGGCCCCACCCCTCTTAGTTCCTGGAAGCTTGGTCCTGTTTTCCAACCTCGTCACTCTTCATGGTTGCCCTTAAAGAAGCCCAAGGCAGTGCTGTGGAGTGGGAAACATACAGCTTTGGCTTCTGCACCAAGAGACACGCTCCGAAAGCTTCCTGCCTCCCACAGACCTGACACCCTGCCCAGGCTGGAGCCGGACAGGATAGCACCATAGGCTCAGCCCAGCGGCTAGGCACACAGTCACAGCCTCCTCAGAGCCTGACACACCCTCACAGGCCAGTCTCCTGCAGGGCTAGGCATGAGGGGTCCCTTTCCTGCCCAGATTGAGTCTTCCCAGAGCTGTGAGCATGTCAGCTTTCAGCAGGCCCACCCACGCCTCCTCTCTGTCAGTGTCTCACCCCACAGAGCTGGGAGGAGCTGAGCTGAGGGGGTGGGAAGGCACGGAGGGGAGGCATACAGCACCGAGACACAGCTTTATAACTCAGACATAATTAATGCTGGCACCATGACTCAATCCCCATGGGCCCCGAGAACTGAGCACTGTGCCCATTTCACAGATGAGAGGTTTAGCATGATGCCTGTGATACAGTTGTTTGCTCGGCTTGACCAGATCATCTCCATCTTGAAGTCAAGCAGTGGTGACGATCCGTGAGCTCAGGCCTCTTTGCATTCCCTTGGGAGGCGGGTTGGGGAGAGGTTCCCAAGGGTCATGAGCCTCAGAGAGCTTGAGAGGTCATCACATGATCCTCACGAGACTCCCCCCACCACCCCGCCCCGAGACTGTAATTGCTGCGCCCTACACTAACAGTTGACCGGGATGGGATTTCCTGGGGGTGTAGCTGCCTATGAACTGCCCGCCCCAACAACTCCATTAAACTCTCTGGTTCACTGCGTTTGGCTTGGACAAAACCCTTTCTTTGATCTGCCCATGCCCTGTCTATCTGGAATGAATAGAAATTTCTTCACATCTCCCAGAGAAAGTCACACAACCATTGGTACCTACAGAGAACAGACGGAACCAAAGAGGAGTCGGGTGGCATCCCTGGGAAAAACTCTGGAAGGGACATGCCTCCTGACTGAGGTGACAGTGGCCATGGGCCGTCAGACATAACAGCCGAGGCCGAGCTTCCTGTGCCCAGGGAGATCAGGCTGAGGCATACCCTGAGGGGAAACCCCAGGGTAACCAACCTCTATGTGATAAAAATTAAAAATCCTTTAATTAAAAAAAATTTTTTTTTTTGCTTTTGTTTTTCTAGACAGGGTTTCTCTGCGTAGCCTTGGCTGTCCTGTAACTCACTCTGTGGTCCAGGCTGGCCTCAAACTCAGAGACCCACCTGCTTCTGCCTCCTACATGCTGGTATTAAAGGCATGAGCCGCCATCACCATGCTACTTTTCAATTCTATTTTAAAATTTAATTTTTAAAATTAAGCATTAAAGCTGGGTGGTGGTACCAAAACTACATAGAGAAACCCTGTCTCAAAAAAAAAATTAGCATTAAAAACTTTAAATTAAACAATAGTAAATTAACTTAGTGCCTGCATTTCTTTGTGTGCCCATGTGATGTGGTAAGGGATGCTCCTTGTTGGATGGGACACACCACATGGGCAGTGAGATGCCTCCAAAGCGGCTGGTGGACTGGCTGGATGCTGTGCCGCAGTCTCTGAAAGTAGCACCTGTGGGGAGGGATGGCTAGAAAGCTGCGGTGGCAGCCGCGGGGCCCCGGCAGGAAAGCTGCGGTGGCAGCCGCGGGGCCCCGGCAGGAGAGCTGCGGTGGCGGCCGCGGGGCCCCGGCTAGGAGTGGCAAGACAAGCAGCCGAGGCTGAGTCGTCCGCACAGAGGACACTGGCCCGCCTAAAGGATGAGAAAGAGGCCAAGCCCAACTTGTGTTTGGGAGCCCCTGGAAGGCTTCAAGCCCAACGGTTCACCAAAGGGGTGAAGGGTGGGGAGGCGCAGGCGATCCCTGATGCACCCACTCTGTAGGGGAAGAGGTCGACTGGCATGGGAATCCCCTGCAGGTAAGGGCTAGGCAGAGGGACCAGAGGCCCCACAACCAATTGCTCCCCTGCTGGTAGGCAGGATGCTTGTGCTTTGGTGGAGCCACATACACCTTGGTGGGATCACATACACCCTGGTTCATGGCAGCCTCTGAAATCATGGGGGTGGGGGCAATGGATAAATCAGGAAACGGAACCGTGGAGGTAAAAATATTGAGACTAGACTAGTCCTGAGTGGGTTGTAATTAACACCCGCTCGAGATTCGATTTACACATTTCTCCCCTGTAAGGAGGTAGGAGTGGGTGTAAGGTTGGGACACACCCTGCTCTGAGGATGGGACTTAGAAAGGCAGTCGTGTGTGGCTGGGAACAATGGGAGACTACAGGGTGCAGAGATGATTCCCTTAGTCTAAAGCCGTTTCAGGAGCCAGGGATGGCGGGTAAAAACAATGGCAAGGCAGATAGCGCTCCCATGCCAACAGTTTTCTTTTAAAAAATAACAATTAACAGGGGCTGGAGAGATGGCTCAGAAGTCAAGAGCACTGGTTGTTTTACC